TCCCTTAGAGCTTTACTATATGTAATGAGGACTTCTGATTCTTATCACTTGTTTTTATGTTTGTTTGTTTATTCAGGCCTCAGAATTGCCACTGGCAATGTATAATTGCAAAGAAAGTCAGTCAGTCAACCACAGAACCAAATCCTGTCACTGTCACTTGCTAACTTGGACATGTTATTAAACTACATAGTCTTAGTTGTTCTCTTCCAAAGGATGGGAATAAGTAAACAATCTTAGAGATTTGCCAAGAAGTCAAGCAATTCCTAAGGAGTGGTAGGTGACAGCTGCTAGATTGGCTTGCATTTCCCCTAAATTTGGCTGGTATGGAGACAATGATCCCAAATGGATTTATTGGGTTGTCGGAAAAGTCATGACGCATTTTTGCAATGAAAAACAAAACAAAAAAAACTACATCATGACTTTTCTGACAACCCAATAGAACAGGGGTCGGCAAACTGAGGCTCGTGAGCCACATGCGGCTCTTTGGATAGGTTCCGTCTCAAAAGCTTGCTGACCCCTGGAAGAGCCAATCCTGTCCCTCACAACAATTTAAAAATTATTCGAGAGCTATAAATATATTTTTTCATAATTACCATTATGTGAATAATATTCTTTAAACATTTTATACATGAAGCTATGATAGTTTTCTTTTCATTTTTAATTTTACTTCAGAGCCACAGGCTCATGAGCCGCAATTTGCTGACCCATGGCGGCAAGCGTCTGAAAAATTTGCCGACCTCTCGTTTAGAAAGTTCATCACTTAAGGCAGAGCAGGCAACATGAGCTTCATATTTGCATCAGTTTCCATTGCCCTTCAAGTCCCATGGGAGTGATCAAGACGGGCTGGGCTGGATGTGGCACACACAGCGGTTCTATGTCACAGCCGAGAAATACTGGTCTTAGGAAACCCCCAACCTTAATAGGGGCTGCGGGCAAGCCTGCCTGCTCTGTCCTCTGGAGAGAAACATTACATTTACCATGCTGAGATGTTAGCCAATCTTCCCTGGGAGGGGAGAGTGAGGTCTTTATCTTACTATCCTGGAGTGTCTCCAAGGACAGAGATGCCCTCTATCTTTACTATCCTGGAATGGAAATAAATCTAAACAAATTAACTGATGGTGACTAGACATGGAGGAATATGAGAGATTCATGGAGAATTTTCTCCCCATAGAATTGAAGAATAAAATGAATGCAAAGTACTGAGCCTAGTGTTTACTACAGAGTAATCACATAATTCAGATAGTGATAATATTGACAATTATGATGATGAGGTAACACAGTGAAAAAGATAGCCCATATTCTTTAAGCCTGGCACCATCATTCCTTTTAGAAAGGGAATTGCATTTGTTGGGGGAATGTGCTGAGAAGAGCTTGCAATAAAAATGCGAGCCCGCGAAGGTGTATGTATTTGCTGATACCCAGGCTGAAGAGAAGGGGATGGAATTGCCCTCTTTGAGACTTGGAAAGGAATTTTTTGTTCTAAAGCAGTATTTCTCAAAGTGCGGTCTCAAGACTAGCATCAGATTACCTGGGAGCTTAATAGAAATGCAGATGCTCAGATCCTACCACAGACCTACTAAGTCAGAAACTCAGCGGGTGAGAATAAGCAACCTATGTTTTAATAAGCCCTCCAGAGGATTCTGATGCCCACTTAAGTTTGAGAGCTACTGCCCTAGAGAAGCAAAGCTGGAGGGGAGAGGGAGCAAATGGGAAGGAAGGTGTCAGACTGGACTCTTATGGAAGAACAACGTGAAAAATTCTCAGTGGTAGACGTCAAATGACTGACAAAATATTAATATGGATTTTTAAAAAGCAGTTTGCACTAATGGTACTCTTCCCAGAACTCCTGGCTCTCCTGTAAAGACAGTAGTACTGAGGAATGATTAGGGCAGCATGGGGGAGGTGGACAGGTAATGGCCTTCACATGGTGAAAACAAAGACATGTGAGGAAGCAGCTGTCAGGAGGCAGGGGAATCCGTGGGACCGGAAGTCCTCAGAGAAATAAGGAACATTTTGGAAAGGGCTTTGAATTGCATGAGCTTAGAGTCATTTTATCTCTAAGTCAGTGGGGCTGCGGCAGAAAGGCCCAGGTTACATGTGGACCATAATAATATTACAATAACGAGATGATTCTAATGGAGGTTTTGAGTGGTTGTAAGGAAGCGCCAAGAAAGAATAAGGAGCATTCTTCTGTAAGACTGAGGCCTAATGAAGGTGGTGTCACCCGGTTTAAAAGTTCTGAGATATGAGTTTTCCATTTGATCTACAGGGGTCTCAATGTTCTCACTTGCTCAGTGTTTGGGTGTCTTTCGGTTGTGAGGAAGGATATAAGGAATGAAAGCATCTATCTGGCCTTCACTAAAGGTGGAATCAGAGGAAGGATGGGATTTTGTAATTCTGACCCTCAAGAAGA